AGTGTATAAACTTTTCAAAGTAATGTTATGGACTCAAGGCAAAAATCATCTTTCGATGAGATATGATGCAGAAACAATTAACAGTAAATGTTGATCACTTTATCTCATTCTAACTACGCATACATATGACTTTTTTAACCTGCGACATTCGATTGAATGAAGCATGTTTCTATTTCACATATCATTTCATTTTAATCACGTTAACGTCATAGACGACAAGTTACGTTTGCTATTACATGTGGATAGTTGACCGTGTGAAGCTAAGCGCAGATGTAAAGCTAAGTCCGTCTGGAAAAACTATAAAAAATTTATAAAAAAATAAACGTTCGTAGTGATTATTGATTTATATTTGGCTATTATTTACACGAGTTACATAATAAAGTATGTTATTTTAAATTTTAATTAAATACCATATTTAGAGATAAATTAGTAAAACTTTTAGAAAGTTATGTAAATAGACTGTCGTAGCTTTGATAATGGTTTAAAGTTAGCTTTGCCGCAAGCATTCTATTTTAATTTATAACCGACGAGGAACAGTCGATCCAATTCAGAGTTTACGACCATGAATGTTCAACTCCGAAGCCTTGTAATTCTGAACCCAACCCAGAAGACAAGGGAACTATCCTGGATCAAGCCTGGACAGAAACTAGATTTCGTGGATTACTTTTTGATGTAACTAACCCTCATTTGCGTTACATGGAGAGAAAAACCGCGATAACTGCCCATGGTTAACCCGATGGCAAGGAAATTATCTGTCTACCACTGAGAATAGTTTACTTGAGCACTAAGACAAATGCGATCCGGGTGGCGACTTTACACATTGTCGACTCCCGGGCACTTCTTTGGCACCGTATTTTGAAATTCGCCAATGTTACATTCGCCAAGTCGGGTTTCAAATTTTCTCGCGAAAATCTTCGAATATTAATTCGCGCATGTTTCACTTGCGACATACGATTTAAAAAACGCATGAGTGAACATGAGGTGTGAATAAATTTAGCTGCTTTAAAAAATTTTGTGTATTATCATTCTCTTTTTATTCGGACTTCCTGAAACACATATTTATTTCTTACTTTTTTATTTCCTTTTTAGGATAAAGTTTTGTTGTGGGTGTAGGATATATGAGTAGGGTATAGCTTTTTAATTATTTTTATAAAATTATTGCAAATAATTTATGGTGTCTTTACCAAGTATGTGGACACAATATTCTATAATGCAGCAGGGTTTTGTACCTTATTGTTTAGTTTTTAGAACCTTTAATTTAAGTAACTACACAATTTATGAGTTTTAAGCATTTTCTTTTTATATACGTGTAATGATGAGGAGATTGTTGCTGTCAGCTTTATACATGAATTTATTCTTTTTTACTTTTCTGACATTGATATCTATGATTAAATTTGATGTAATGATTCCCATTTGCAGTGCCAATAATATTTGCGTCCAAACAATTGTACTTAGATTTGACACTTTTTTGTAAATGTTATGTCCCAAACGATAAATTCCTTCATACGTATTAGCCAACTCCACAGCTTTGGTAGCCAAGACTTAAAAATTTGTAGCAGTTAAAGTATATTTATGAGGTGAACACAATTTTGATTAAAGAAAACTTTTTATGATTTGTAAAATAAAAATATAATGTAAACAGTAAGCATCAACTTTGACATTCTCATATCATAACTGTATAACAATATAAGGACAATCTGTTTATTTATTTCTGATTCATTAAAGACAAGATATTGAGTCAAATAAGAGAATCTTAACAATTTTTAAATTTAATAATTTTCTTTAAATAAAGAAAGTAGTTTTAAAGCAATTGGGTTGAAAGGCTGAGGACTTACACTTTTCTCAAAAAAATTAATCGATGTTATGATAATAAAACAAAACTCCTGCGATCAGTTATCTCAGCAAAAGTAAGATTTTTATTATCAAATAAGAAACAATTATTACCATTCTGCAAGGAACAAATAAAATAAAATAGGTCATACAGTTTTCAGACACACAGACTGCATGACAATCCAAGAATAAATATTTGAACTTTTAAAGCAAATTGCATACAATAAAAGCTATTGTGTAAAAAAAAATTAAAAAACAATTTGTTACAAATGAGACTATTATATGATTCCAGCAACTGAAAAATTCTTTCGGAATTTTAAAGACTAATGAAGACTATTAAATAATAACAGAAAAGTTTTCTGTGTCTCTTTTGTCTCATTTTTGAAGCAGAATATAAATTAAAATACACATCTCACTTTTTCTGATCCTGCTTTTCTCTGAATCTTTCTTATTAAAATAGATGAATCGTGTTAAATTACGTTACCTTAAGTTAGTAAATGTGTTTTCGCACTTAGGAGGAAAAAAAGGCCGAATTTTAGATTGATAATAAATGTAATAATTTTCATAGTATTTTTTCCATATCTTATTTAGAAGCCCAAAAATTGAATAAAAAAAATTATAAAATATATAGACCAATTGTTGAGTTATAGAATCTAATAAGCTGAAGTTGTTATAAAATTATGAATAAAAAGTTACAAGATGGATATGTTATGAAATTAATGAAGCATAGAATGAAAGGATAAATATATATAGCAAAATATATGATAAAATTAATTAGGAAACAATTAAAACGAAGGTGAGTAATTTCAGATATATACAAATAATAGTGATAGAAGCAAGAAAAATGGAAAATATCGGAATTTTCCCTGACGAATTTAAGAAACATTAAAAAAAGTTAAGCAGCCACAACTTTAAGTTTCAATAAATATGATTTGATGTTATAAAAAATAAATTAACTATACGAAAATAGTAGTGAATATGTCATAGATTTGTTTCTTTATGTCATGGCTTCACTAAAAATATTTTTTCTCCTTGTTTTCCTAATAGCACGCATTTTACAGAAAATATTTGAACAAATTTAATGAAAATATTTTCAAATTTTTTTAAAGACTCTCTTATGAAGAAAATACTGTCAATCAAAAGTTGTTCAGTATAAAATATATGCAATTTTTTTAAGATATTGTAAGCATTTTGAAGAATACATATTTTTTCCAAAATAGAAATAATTGATAAAACCTGGTAAAAATGAAGGAAATGAAAATAATTATTTTTCAAACTGAGTAAAATTTTTTTTAATACTTTTATCTTTAAAAATATGTACACTTAATAATGTGATGATTTATATAGGGAATTATTTTTTTAAACTTTGTTTATTAATTAAGATATTCAAAAGAAATTGATTATTCTGAATAATTGACTATTTTATTACTCCAGATTTTTATTTAATTTACAAGAATAGTTTCTATTTGAAATTTTTTTTAATCGAAATATGTATGTAATTAACTGAAATAATTGTGTGTATGTAAATTTTTCTTCCTCTTTCTTTAAAGAAGGACGAAGTATTTTGTTCTCGTTATTTGAATTTTTCTAGTCTTAAACGAGGATAAAATTTTAACTTAATTCAACAAGCAACTTTTAAAAATATCCATGAGCGCGAAGATTCGTTTATGACTTTTGCGAGTGCTGTATTGAGGCGAGCGTAGGGTTGCCTCTGAGTGAGGGTTACTAGATAAGGCGGTGAAACAGTTGACAAATAAAACCGCGGCGAGTGGAGGTGCCCGGGAGTCGACAATGTGTAAAGTCGCATCCGGGTGCGGGATTCATATTGACCAGCCATCACTGGGATTCGAACCTGGTTCACCTCATCGGAAGCTGAACGCTCTATCCCTTGAGCTATCGCGGCTTTTGGACTAGATTGAGGATAGAACTCTCACCTCCCAAAGAAGTGACCAGGGTTCTAATCCCAGCCCTAGCTGGACGATAAGTATTCCGCACGAGGTTCGAATCAACCACAACGTTGGCGTAAATTATTCTCAGTGGTATTCGGATCATGGGGTAGAGTCCCCTTAGACTAGGAAATCTGGAACAAACTGGGCAATGAGTTGGACAGAAATGGAAGTTTAAAAGGCTGGCAGAATTGACTGCAAATTTAGGAAAATTTAACATTTAATAATTTCTAAAGTATTTCAAAAATCTGATACAGCAGTATCATTAGCAAGAGAATTTTCGTTTTAATAAGGTAAAAACTTTACCGAAAAATCCAGGTCAGGGCATGAATAAATTTATAAATGATTCGATGTTAGGTTAACAGCATTACTTCAAATGTCAAATTTTGAATAATTCATGTCCATTAGTTTAATAGAAATGGAAATTTAAAGATTCTACTTTCCGAAATTTTTCAGTTTTCGAAATTTTTACTACCAAATTCTTTTAAATTTGACTTTTATACGTAAATCACACGAATTGACTTTTTATATACGATCATATTTAAACAAAATAATGTAAAATATTATTACAGTGTATTCTTTTCATGAAACTATTTTTTTGTTAACGAATTTTCTATCTGAATACAAAAAATAAATAAATTAATTAATTAATTAAATAAATAATTCAGTTCCAGAGTAAAAATAAAAACTGTAAAAAGGAAGAAAAAAACATAGCCTTCCTTCTCACTTACACATTAAAACTGCTATGGACTTTCAGGTGATCGAGGAATCTAGCTTTTTTCAGCCCCACATATAAATATATGTATATCTCTTATTTTACAATATTTATTTTTATTCTGTTCAGCTGTTCACTGTGACATATAAAACTAAGAACTTTCCCATTAGACAGGAATAGGGGTGTTTATTTCCTTTGCGGGAGGACGAGTAAAGGATTATTTGGTAGTAGTTTTAACCAGGGAAATGTCGAAACTCACTTGAATTAAAGAAAGTTTTTTTTTTAAATTCGGACACAAAAAAATTACGGTTCTTTTTTAATTGTAAATTAAATTACACAAATATTGAGTGAAAATTGTGATTTTAGAAGGGGTTGTATCATCATCTCTTACAAAACGTAAGGGGGCTAAAGCCCCCTTTAACCCCCGGTCCCGCAGTCCCTTGGATCAAGAACCGATATGAGTGTGATTCGTGAATGCGGAAGACATGCGTGAACCATATACAGTGAAAATGGTTCCTCCATGGAAATTTCATCCTTGCTTTCTATCACTGAAACTGGCAATGGCAACATGCGTTTGTTTATATTTTTAAAATAAATGTCATGGCGGGTTCGACAATTTCTGCAAATTTCGGAAATACTCCAACATTTCAACCCTTTCATGTTAGTTATTCATTCCAGTTTATATACTTAATGATCAATAAATTATTTTATCACATTGTAGTTGTTCCTATTGTTTGCTAATACTTTATGGTAACATGAATTCATGACGAAGTTGAAAAACAAAGCTTATGTTTTCTTGCTCTTTTCTTATTATCACTGAATTTTTCTGTTTATATTTTACTTTTGTTCTATTACATGCTTAAATCGAGTCAATTTTTTTTATCTTTTGTATCGAAGATAAACTCATGGATGCAGACCAAAAGAGTACATCCAACATTTTTATAGTTATTAAAGAATTAAATCAATTAATTGATTTTCGAAATATACGAAATAGGTAATATAAGTGGGAAGCCAAATTATTACTTTTGGATTTTTTGATATTAAAGATTTCATTTAATTATAACAGACTTTACTGTTAAACTTAACAAATTTAAATTTTTCTTATAATGAAACACTTTGTTTTTCAAAATCATTCAAATATTAATTGTTTAACTTAACATATCCTTGGAAAATAGCTGTGAAGTATTATTATTTATCATTTCGCAAATGATATAAGATTCTACATAATTTTTTAAAATTAAAGTGGATCTAAAAGAGTAATTAAGAATGATTTTTTCAGCAGTTTTGGGACAAAGAAGTTAGGTTCTACAGTTTCGTGTCAAATGATGGTAAAAGCAATGTGACAAGTACTATTTACTGATCACCTAAACTTCATAGATAACTCATGATTGATCTGGAACTTCAAATGAACACTGCTTATACAGCCCCATTACTTCCAGCTAAATCCTGAAAAAAATTAGATTTCGTGACACTTTTAAATGCAAATTACTTTTACTGTTAATTTTATTAATGCGGATAAAAATATCTTAAATTTTGTTATATTTTAGGATTTTTTTTTGCATTGAAACAGAAAATAAAATGAAAATTTGTGAAACTCACAAAAAACATAACTTTTTACCATTCACTTTATTGATGTTTCATTTATATATATTAAGAAATCAAATTTAAGGATTCATTGATTAGCAGAGAAGTAAAACAAAAGGCATGATTGTACTCACCAACATGCGAAACCTTTTAAGTAATTTTTTATTTATTATTATTATTTTAGCTACGTATTGCATTTGAAACAGGAAATAAATATATATACTTTTAATTTGATTAAATAAACACTGAAGCTTGCTTCAAAAAATAGGAGGTAAATTGTTGGAAAAAAAATAGTTTTTTATGTGTGTTTCTGTTGTAAGGATTTGGGTGAGACTGTCAATTTTCAGAAAAAGAACGATTTGCAATTACTGTTTTCTATAGTGTGCAAAATGGGATTTTTTTTTTTTTTTGTAAGTGTGTATGTTTTCCTGATGTGGGGATAATAATTTGGCCGAGACTGTCAATTTTGGAAAAGACCGATTTGCAATCACCGTATCCTATAGTGTACAACATTGTACATTTTGCTGTTGTACTGATGTCTTTTGTTGACTGTGAGTGGTTTTAGCATTATGAACACCACAAAAACAAAATTGAATGCATGCAACAAATTTCAGTGTAATATCTGCATAAAGAAACGGACCAACAAGGGATTCGTTTAATTTTGAGACAGCATTTGCAATTAAGTTGAACAGAACTTGAAAAATAAGATATTTTTTATTGTTACTTATTATATTAAAATGAAATTTTTTCTTTATTTTTTTCTAGTTTGTAACTAATAGTTGAATTTAGATCAGTAACTTGAAATATAGAGAGATAAATAATTTTTAAAATATTTTTTTTTGTTGGCAGATTTACCAAATTGCTAGGGTTAGTTAATAGCCTAATTAGTTAGTGACTATTTAATTTTTAAGCTGATATTTCTGTTACCTGATGTCTAAAAATTTATTTATTTAAATTGAAATTATTTAATAATTTTTCGTAAGAATTTAGATTTATTTTGTGTCCCTTTTTATTCTTTCACTAAGGTACTGGCATCCAATTTACGTATTGATATCTTTTTTTTTTTTTTTCATGAAATGTTTTTTCTAATTTGTTTTTCATTATTACATGTCTGATGTTTTTGTATAATATTGCACCTTTAGGGTCCTAATATTTGTTTTTATTTGCAGAATAAATTTCAAATTGCGTTGTCAAGTCCTATCTTAACTGAAAGATGTTTTCAAATAACGCAACTTTTACAGGATGCTCCTTTAAAGGTAAAATAAACTACTATCTCTTACTACGCTGTTTAATCTTCCAGAATTCTAAAGTAAAATTATAAATTTATCAATGATTAAAATTTATTATGTAATTTTATAAATTAAAATTTATTTTACATTTTCAGTCTGGTTGATAAAAACTCTCCTAGGTGGTTTTTTTTTTATGAGGTATTGCCTGTAAAATCCTACTGGCAGTGAAAATTTGTATAAAGTTTAATATTTTTCACGAATATTTTTTTTTCTTCAGAAAAATTATTGTATTGCATTAATTAACTGTTGAGTTAATGCACAAAAAAGTATAAAAAGATCACTTCTTTGCAGCTTTTTCTGTTTAGAAATCACCAAATATAAAAAAGAAAAAAGCCAGTTTTGTTAAATTTTGAAGAAAAAAAACCTAATTTACGAGAAGATCTTACAACATTAGAATGTAACCTAAGAGAAATAATGAAGAAAAGTAAAAGCACATTTGTTAAATGAACTATACATAAAATAAATTTCAAGCTTATAATTATTTATCTTTAAGCAGAAGAGCACTCTGGAATGCTTAGGAAAAATTTTGTTAAAGAATCCACTGATCAGGCATAAAACTATCTAATTCGTGATTGTTGCTTGGCAACATATTAGAATTTGATGAAACTTTAATCTCTCATTATCAATACCAGATCTTTCTCATTACTACTACGCAACCAACTTGTCTGCAGACAAATTCAGAGAACATTTCTAAAAAATCAGCAAAAAAAAAAAAACATTTTATGACACAAATAAAGATGCAATTTTTTTACCCCAACAGGGAAGACTCTGATTACAGAAAAATAAAAGTTTAACAATATGTAGGTACAAAAACTAACAAGTAAAATCTGAGAAATAGGTCAAGCTCATATCAATGAATAATCTAGTGTAATTCTTTATATATAACATAAACAATAAAAAAATGAAAGAAGAGATAAATTTGAAAAGAATAATTCAGTTTACTGTGCATGAGCTTCAGGGTGCATAGAACCCTTAGTATAAGATAATCACAGGAAAGCATCAAAAAAAATTATTTTTTTAAAAAAAAGATAAATTTAAAAAAAGTTAAAATTTAGAAAACTTTGATATGAAAAGATATAATCTCGTTATCTGCCCACATGATTATATCTGAACAATTACTGTTTTCTGATATTACATTAATGTTATATTTGCATAATACATTTATATAGTACATTTGGTTACATTTATGTAATGGAAAAAAAAATATATCAATAGAATAGTAAAAGGAGCATCAATTTATTGATGATTTAGTTATTTTATAATTTTCGCAATTATAAAAATTTTTTTTAAATGTTACTTACTCTGAGAAATTAATATTGTCGCACATTAATGCAGAATGATAATTTTAATTTTTTTGGATTTAAGTATTAAAAAGGGGGGGGGGGATTCTACAGTATTGACATTTACGATTAGTGGAATAATTTTAAGTTTAATATTAATAGACTGATTGCATAGAATTCTTATGTTTCTAGTTTATTATTTTTTGTCAGATTAATAAATTCAAAAGAACTTTTAATAATATCTTTGTAAAAAAAAATGGACCTATTTTTCAAAAAATAAAAATTTTCTAACAGTAGTTAAATTCTATGTGAAATCATTGAATTGATTGAATCTTAAAATTATTAAAAATAATTAAGAAATTGAATACAAAAATAATTTATTTAAAAGCACTAGATTAATTGTCATGATCAAATCCAAGATTTTGTGTAGATAGTTTGAAATTTTATAACTACCTACAACATTCAATTAAATAAAAAATATTGTTTATTAAATGTCAATAATTTCTATAAAAGCAATTGAATTAAGAAGCTCTATTTAAAGTGCAACCTTTTACTACCTAATTATAATTTTTGTTATCCAGTTTAATATTTTATTACTTTGAACATATCCATTTTCAGGCAAATTCAAGGTAAAGAGCCAGTCAGATCAATTCTTAACTTTATGAACACACCTTAAAATATTTATCCCACTACCTTCTATTGTCCTTTCATTTCACATTTTGTAATTAAGCAAGAAGTACATGACGTCTTTCTCTCTTTTCCTTTTACATGGCTTTTTTGCATTTCATTTAAAAAAAATTATGAGGTTTTTTTTTTCCTTCATTAAATGATTAAATTGTATTAAAGAATCAGTCTAATTTTTTGGTGCTCCTCACACTATTGTATTGATGTATTTATCTTTATCTACGAGGGTTGTAAATTAAATAGTGGCAACTTAACCTTGAAACTCACAGAAGGGCGGGCATGCGCAAATATGATATGGGAACGGTGAAGTGGAGCTGTTGTCGATGTGTAGAGTGCAAAAAACAGTCGATCTGCTTAGAAGGGTAGTTGTTGTGTGGCGTTAAAGTGAGGAGTTTAGTTTCCATCGCTCTAAAGCATGTTTTTTCAAAAGGTGATCAGCGGTCGTCGCTTAAAATCGAGGTTGCCCGTGGCAAAAATGCAGCAGGATGCTATCGAGGATTAGTGGAAGCTTGTGGCGCAAATGCTTTACCGTATTGGACAGTAACACGATGGGTTCAAGCATCTCGTCTTTTTCGTCACTAAGCCTTTTGAAAACATGCTTTAGAGCGATGGAAACGAAACTCCTCACTTTAGCGCCACACAACAACTGCCCTTCTAAGCAGATCGACTGAATTTAGCACTCTACATATCGACAACAGCGCCACCTCACCGCTCCCATATCCTATTTGCACATGCCCACCCTTCTGTGAGTTTTAAGGTTAAGTTGCCACCATTAAATTAAAAACCTCGTATATTAATGCAATATCAGAAAGAACTAATTTTTGCTGGTTGAAAAAGGAGTTATATCCTTTCATTGAATCTTACTTAAAATATTCATACAATTTAAAATTGATACATTTTGAAATATGCTATAATAGGAAAAGATTTTTTATACATTATCATTTTTATTAATTTTACTTTTATATTTTATATATTTTTCTGCAATTAGTTATCTGATTCTGCAGTAAATAATATTTGCTTTATTATTGTTTTTTTTATGTGCAGAATTTGATAAGTAGTTAGAAATATATATTTTTGTTCTTAATCTCCTAATGACATATTCTGTAACATTTTGTTTTGTGTACAACTCCATATTTTTACAGGAAGTGCAGTATATATTTCCTGGTGTGATCGAAAACATATTTGGAGTACGTTCCGGTATTGATTGGGGCTTTCTCAAACTGGATAAAAACACTCAATCTAGGGATTTTGACAGTCTGAGAAAACTATTGGCTCCTGATGGACCAATTCTAAAACTAGTTTATAAATTTACGGAAGATGTATCACCTAAATTTGAATTTCCTTTCTCTTGGCTACCTGTAAGCGAAATTTATTTATTTTTTTGAATTGTAAAATAAAAATGATATAATTTTTTTTGCCTGTCAAATGGTTTTTATTTTAATCAATAATAACCTTACATCTAGATACCATATTGTTATGATTATTAATGTAGTTTTTATTTGTTGTTTATTCTCGTGGCAAAGTGTCAATAGTTTAAATCAAAATCTTGATTGTATTTATTTATTACATGATTTTAGTCATTTTATTGTTTTAAAATTATTGTTTTACTGTTTTATTAATTTTTACATATACTAAGTCTTATCATTTATATTATTAATACAGTGAAACCTCTCAAAAAACCATCTATATGTACAGGGTATCTGCGCACCTGGAAAGTCATGAATTTAGGTATTGAACAAAAATTTTCATGAAATTTCATGATTTTAACTTCTTTTTTTTTTAAATCACGGAAAGACATGGATTTAGGTCGCCAATAAATCTAATTTTAAAATGTCATCTCCCCCCTCCTCCAATTTCATGGTGTTCCGAATATCTGAATTTGTAACAAAATCCCCACTCACAGTCATATTTTATTGAAACATAAAATGTTTTTATCATGCTCTTTAAAAATTATGCTGTTTTTTAAAAAAAAGATGAAAGAAAGAACATCATTTCTAGATCGAATTATCTTTTAAACTACTCTGATTTCCGAATTTTTTTTTATTGTTTCTTATTTTATTTTAACAATTTGAAATTCTAGCTAAAACAAGCCAGAAAAGTATCTTTAGAATATAATTCTGCAGAACTTTTTTTTATTTGCTTTTGTATTTTTTTCAGCTATTTTATTGCTTCAACCCTTTCTTTACTCTGTTTTTTAAATTTAAAATCTCTAAATATGAAAATGCAGAATATAACAGTTTTGGTTCTACCTGTCATTTCAATTAATGTTGTTGTAATGCTTTTTTAAATTTATTGTTGTATTTTTGTCAGAGAAAATAGTAACTTCGTTAAGTAGAGAAAAATTGGAGTCATGGATTTGAAAATCTAAAATGTAGGAGATAACATGCATGTAGCAGGGCTGATTGTGCTCCGGAAAAAATCCGGATTTCCGGAGTTTCCGGAGATCGAAGGTCCAGATGTTTCAAAAGATCATTGATCGCAGAAGTTTCCGGAATCAAATTTTCAAATGTGGACTTAAAAACGCAGTTTTATTTTATTTGTTTGTAAGGGAGAGCAAGAGAGATACTTTATAAGCTTATATTAATGATTAATATTCATTTTTTTTTATCAGTATATAGTTGTTATAATCATAAACTTAAGAAAGAAAGACATATTTGTAAATTTTAATTACTTCTCCCGGTCATTATAGGTACGTATAAATGGTATAGGTATGTGTAAAATTTTAAATATATTTTAAGTAAACTAAGAAATATTGAGAAAAAGGAAAAAAAATCTTGTTTAAATTTTTTTCAATTTTAACAGTTTTTTTTCCCAAGAAAAATGTTGTTTTTTTCAAGAACTCAAGAAATTTTCCGGAATTTTGACTTGGGCTCACAATCACCCCTGATGTAGCGACCACCTCTATTTACGACCACTTTTTGGGGGCACAAACAAATTTCCATAGACTTAGTGTTGAAGAAAACCTTTAGGAGAGACCATTAAAATCTCTCCCAAGCGACCCTACAAACATCTTAACTCAATGTAGAAAAAGTCAAATAAAGAAACTTTAAAAAGTATCGAAACAAATAAGTAGAATAAAATGTATTCAAAATATTTGTGTGAAACTCTTATTTAGAGTGACTTTTTGACGAAACAACCTCATGTCATGTTACAGCGTGCACTAAAAAAGATGCTATCAATTATTTACTTCTAGAGTTGAAAGTTAAATTAGAAAAAAAAAGTTATTTTTGAAAAAATAAGCATCTCAAACAAACAAACCTCTTCTCATATTTTAAAGCCAACTAATTTTTATGGTAGACTATTAAATGCAAGCTTAAACAAAAAACATAATTGTTTATTAATTTTAAAATAACTTTATCATTCATGATTGGTAAATTTGCTTTTATGCATAATTCTATCAATTGGAATAATTTTTGTTGACACTAAATTTCATTCATAAATACGTCTTTTCGTGACCCCAACAGAAGTTGCATTTCCGCACCAAGAAAGTGACACTGGCTAAAATTGAAATTGTTTGCGAAAAAACATGTACCTTCAATAACAAATTTGAAGTCAATGGAAGCAACCTCTAAGCTTCGTGGCGACATTGCCGCAGAACAATACAGAGTTCCTGCAGAAAGATTTTTTATTTCGGAAGCGAAGAAGTTTGGGTTTTTTTATCTGCAGAATTTACGAAATATTTTTTTTCCTGCAGAACATTTTTGCTCCTTTCTGCAGAATTATATTCAAAAAATATCTATCGGAGGGGGGGGGGGAAAGCGCTCTTGATTTTTTTTCCTACTTTCTTTTGCGAATAAAAAAATTCCGCAATGATTGGCTTTACCTAGAATTTCAGATTGATATTATAAAAAGTAATTTTCAAATAGCAAACATTTAAGAAAAATTAACTCTGCAAATATTCTTTAAAACAGGAGAATATTGCCAATAATATTAGAATATATATTCTTTTAGATTTAAAACAAAATCTTACATTTATTGTTAAAAACAAATTTGTACTGTTCTGTTCTATACATGAAGGCTTCTTTTGCAAACAGAAAGCCCTTCTGTTACTTTAAATTAGTAATGTATATATTTGCTACTATTAAAAATGTCTCTCAGAAAGATACTAGAGAAAATTGTCACAGAAAACTTACAAAAATTCTGCCACAGGGCCTTTAAGAACAACCAACCTCCATCAGCAACTATTTTACTGTGGAACTGAAAGGGGTCACTCCCAAGAGGCTTCATTGTATATATTATTAAAATCATCACTTTGTTTGAAATTTGCACCAAAAGTTAAAACATAATACTGTCTTTGACTATATTATATGAAACACAAAAATGTGTATGTATATTGTTAAATAATTGATGAAGTATCTCACTCTTTGCATCAAGCATCTAATATATCAAAAAGTGAACATTCTTTTATTTTAGGGCAACAAAAAGTTGTAAGAGCTTTGTTGTCAGTATTAAAATTTCAACTTGAAAGTTTATTAGATTGTATGATTAATTTTCAATAGTTAAGAGTCAATGATCAACAGTGATAACTTAAAGGTAAAGTAGTTCTTCATTAAGCATATTGCTATTTGAACAAATGTTAGAGACGTGACAAACAAGTTAAGTGCCATCATCAAATAACTTGTGAATTATTTGTTTCTTTTTAAAAACAAATTCTCTTTGTTTAGCTTCCAGAATACTCAGATGAAATAACATGTCATTCTGCCCAATGTTTTTATTATTATTGTTTACCAGTATTTTGAAAGTTCAAGTTCAATTATATTCACCCTATACTTATAAAACTTATTTCCTGCCTACAGTTTATGTATGAAAAAATATTTTTTATTATGTGTTTTATGTAAAAATGTTTCCCACCTAAAGTTTAGTGCATCAAAAATGGTATCTACAAGTATAAGAGAACGATCGGAAAGCTCATTATTACTTACAAATTATTGTATTATAGTTTATCACATTTCATCTGTAACATAATTTTGTTTTTGCAAATTTTTAATTTATATAATCTTTTTCTGCAGGTACCTAGTCAGCTAATGCTGCAGGAGGGTAAAGTTCCAGGTTTATATGTCAACAAATTACAAATTTCTGGTCAGAACATATATTCATCCTCTCTGCAGTTAAATATCCTTTCTAAATGAATAGATTAAATGTGATAATCAAAAGTTCATTTCAGTGTAAAAGTTTATTCTTATTTAATTGAAATTTAGAAAATATGATGACTTGAACAGCAAATATAAATGTAATATTTCAATTCCCAAGAAACATGCTTTTGTTAGTTTGAATTATTTCTTTAAAAATAATTTTTTTAAGCTTTTCTTACATAACTTCATATTCATTAGACTAAAACTTGCTATTAGTTATTTTGTTGAATTTTATAAGCTTGTTTTGTGATTCTTAACTGTCTTCAAATAGCTTGGAATTTTATTTCTTTCATTTTTGCTATTATATTGTTAATCCTGTTTTGAAGGTTAGTAATCTTTTTATTATTATATCTATTGTTATTATCTCTTAGATGTTACATTTCAATAGTGTATTTTATTTTTAACTATGAAAAAAAAAATTTTTTATTTGTACTGTAAACTAGCTGCTTTTATCTAACTTTGGTTCCATATTTATCTTGCCCTATACAAACTCACTGTAGCATAGATTCATATAAACTCTGCTTAGCAATAGTTGTAAAATATATTGTAATACTTCTAAAGCAATTTAAGATATTATGCACATTAAGCGTTCCATCAATAGGAATATCAGTCAGTGCTGTGAAATGACTTTTTGGAGGCACAATATCAATAACACCTCAGTCTTTTTATCACGTAACTTATTTTTGTAGTCCAAACGCTAAATTAAATTAAAATCGATGCATTTAATTTTTTTTTAAATTAAAATACATGTATAACATAATAAAGACTAAAAAAATATAAGGAATTCAAAGGGAAATGAATGAAGTTTTATTTACTTCAATATATAGAACTTGTGTTTCATAGGCTGCAAATATATAAAACTCGTAAAATAAGTTAAAAATGTAGAAGAATATATAGAGAAAACATGGAAAAATTTTAAAAAATTATTAAAAAAGAAAAACAATTAAACAAATTTTCATTTATTGTTATTTTGTTGACATTTTATTATTATTTTGTTTCTGATTTTTTCTTAATGGATGTTTTTGAAAAAATTTTAATTTCTGATTCTTTTTCTTTTTTAGTAAATCTTTTTTGTATTTTTATTTTCATCATTTTTAACTTATATATATATAGTGATAGATAGATGTTGTATGTTTAAAAGAGTAAAAGCACAAATGTGCTAAATATATCGCCTGGTCATATATGTTAAAAAATGTCACCTGTAAAACGTATCACTGATAAGGGCTTTATCACGTTAAAACATTTCCTCTTTATTTTTTACTGCCAATACCAAATCTAAGTGCTTCTTAGTTGGCAAGATGAAAATAGTCTTTGCCTAACAAGACTTGAGTGATGGTTTCCTGCTATAAAAACTTGATATCATATAGTATTATATTTCTCCAACCCACCGAGAGAGAAAAAAGAGTAACTATAAGGTATCTGATTAAAATAGTGTGGAACAAAATCCCTTGTAATTGAAATACAGTGCAACATAATCTCACCCTGACAAAATATCACAAGGCAAAGGCTTTATATAAAGTTGGTTAGAATGTTTCCGATTATTTTTTAATTGTCAATCTGGTTATCTTAAAATATTTCCTTTTTATCTTTAAATGTCATGTAAAATTTTTACATATTTTTGTAATACATTTACCTTTAAACTAATTGTAAAAACTTTATTGGAAAAGGCATCTTTCAATTGAAGACCTTGGAAGTTAAATGTGATTACCCTCATTTTTGTAGTTCTAGGAATATTAAGTAGGTAATTCATTTAGCTGCACAATGGGCTATTAGCAACGATTTGGGAAACATCCATGAGAATTATAAATTTAATAATAAATTAAAAGAATAACAAGTTTTCATTTCACAGGCAGGTGTAGGGATTCTTATGAAAGTTATCCAATAGTGTTGTTGTTTTATCTCAACAGACACTGTGTGAAATTATTTGACTCTTTTTCCCAACCGATGCATTACTGAATCTTTTCAATTTAAAAAAAAAAAATTATTTTACTTTGTTTGTAGATGATTTTATGTGAAGGCAATATTCGAAATTCAACTTCAATTAATTTATTCACTTAACTCATTTATTCAAATGAAAATAGAATCATTATGTTGCTCATCAAATCATGCACAAAGAATCTATGAAAGAATTCATATAATAATTTCGCTAAGACTTCGGTATTTCTTTTGTTTTGCTAAGTTGTCAATGCATCTCTTACCCTTATTGCTTTTCTTTAATTTTTTATGATTTACTGTTATTTATTTTTTCATGTGGTCATTAACGCTCATTCCAGAAACTTAAAATAGCAATTGTAGATATTTAAGGTTGAACATGTTCAAAATCACATTTTAATGTGACTTTTATCAACTGCTGAATCTATGAATTATCGACAATCGACTGCCAAATCTATGGATGTGTCAAAAATTCTTAAATACAATGAACTTTTTCCTTTAAAATATTTTTAATTATTTCACAAAATAAATCTTGTTCTATTCGTACAACTGACCATCACACGTTCTTAGAGTCAGAAATATAAATATTTTAAAAATGATTCGTAATAAGTTGTTCATTTTGGTCAAGTATTATTTTGTATTAATTAAATACAGTCAAACCCCGTTAACGCGAAATCGCTTACCACGAAATTTCGCTTAACGCGAAATAATTGTTAGTCCCGTCGATCGAGTCTGAAGAATAGTGTTAATTAATTCTTTTAACGCGAAACCCAAATCGCAAAATACCGCTTAAGACGAAAAGAATTTTTTTCACTCCAAGTCAAAATTTCTTCTTTTACAAGAGTTTGGAATTAGTGTTTTGAAATTTCTACTCCTACCCTCGAATCGAGGTCCCATCCTTCCATAATTATCTCTTTTGATTGGTTGCTGCTATTCTGTTTCGGAATGTTCTTTGCACGTGCGTGGAAGGGGGTGGAAAGTAGTGCATAAGCACACATGATCGTGGTAGAGTCCGACTGTCAGTTGCCCTTGAAATTTCGTAAAAATGAGTCGAAAACAGCAATCCTTGTCCTTAGAGACTAAACAAAAAATTTTGAATGAAGTTTGTGATGGAATATTAAAGAAAACAGAGATCGCGACGAAATATGGAATTCCCAACAGCACGCTATCTACGATTATAAAAAATCGTGAAAAAATTGAAGTCGCATATGCTATCAATCAATTTGAGCCAGCTAGAAAGCGAATGAGAACAGGGGGAAATGAGGAGATCGAAGTAGCGCTTTTGCGATGGGTGCGTGAAGCAAGGAGTCAGAATCTGCCTTTAACGGGTCATGTATTGCAAGAAAAAGCAAAAGTTTTTGCGGATGCTCTCGGCGTGACAAATTTCGCATCTTCAAACGGTTGGTTAACACGATTCAAAAAGCGTCATGGAATTGTGTGTCATAAAATCTGTGGCGAAGAAGCAACTGTAGATAAGGAGACTGTGGAATCATTTTTGTCTGAAAAGTGGCCTGCTCTTAGGAAAAATTACGCGCCACGTGACATTTTCAATGCTGATGAAACGGGACTCTTTTTCAAAGCATTGCCCTCCCGTACATTGAGCATTAAAGGAGAAAAATGCTCCGGCGGAAAATGCTCTAAAGAGAGAATTACTGTTTTGGTCGCTTGTAATATGGATGGGACCGAAAAATTGCCCTTGTTTGTCGTAGGTAAATCAGCGAACCCACGTTGTTTTAAGAACTTAAAAACTTTACCCGTTGTATATGCTTCAAATAAGAAAGCCTGGATGAATAAAATGCTTTTTAAGAAATGGTTAACAGACTTGGACAGGAAACTATTTCGGGAAAAAAGAAATATTTGTTTGATGCTTGACAATTGTAGTGCTCATAATGATATTCACGGACTAAAAGCGATTAAATGTGTTTTTTTACCTCCTAACACCACAGCAAAACTTCAGCCGTGCGATCAAGGTATCATTCATAGCTTGAAGGTGCAATACAGAAAAGAAATGGTACGCAAGATGATCCATTGCTTTGATAATAAAATTACATTTTCTGTAAATCTATTAGACGCAATGAGATACTTAAAATGTGCTTGGAACAATGTTTCTTCTGAAACAATTATAAACAGTTTCAAGTGCGGTGGGTTCACAGATGGAAAAGAAATGAATCTTCAAGAAATAAGTGAAGCAGAACCAGAAACGTTGACTAATTTGATCGAAGAAGCGGAAAAACGCGGGATTCTATCAGCCCCTTTGTTCAAAGACTACACCACTATAGACGAAGATTTGCTAACATCGGATATAACCACCGATCAAGACATAATCGCTGAACTATCGGCGAAAAATGATGATGTCGACATGGATACAACTGATGAAGAGTCCGATATTGAACAAGAAAATCCAGTTACTTTAAATGAGGCGACATGTGCAATGAAAGTAATTAATCGTTTCCTCATGCAACAAGAAAATGCTATGGATGCATTAGATAACTTAGAACATATAAATGACTTTATTAATAAGTGTTATCTTAAGAAATTAAAACAGAAGTCAATAACTGACTTTTTTCAACCTTGATTCCGTAACGGATAAATAAATTCGTAATTTGGCGTTCAATTCACTTCATTATTTCTTCTCCAAATTTCAAGTTATTTTTAAATGTTTATTGTTTTTAGTATTTTTAATTTTATGTTAAATTCACTTAAATTTGCAATATGTCTTCATTAGTAACTTTTAAGAACTGTAATATATAAGTAATTGTTTAGTAGTTCAATAATTGTTGACTAGAGGCCGCCACTACCTAAACGGTTAACACGAAATTCGGTTAACACGAAAAATTTCGGTGGTCCCGACGATTTCGTGTTAACGGGGTTTGACTGTATATATATATATATCTATGATTTCTTTGTTAAATTTTTATGAAATAAAATCTAATGTTTTATGTTTGTAATTTATTTTAATCTATTTTTTCCCCTAGAATATCACTAGTACAGTTAATCAGCAGGATACATTATATGCCCACATTCTTGAAGATTATTTAGCCTATTTTTTGCCAACAGAAAATAGAACTGTTCCCTTGTTTCAAGCTCAAAATGCTCAGCACTCTCCGATTTTAACTTCATCTCTATCTTCTAACTTTGGAAGGTAAAACTATGTTACATTATTTTATCTATATATATAAGTTCGAAATGTAGAGAAAACATGGAGAAAATTACAGAACAGTGAAAAAGGAGGGGAAAGAAAAGTAATAAAAATAAAAAACAAGAAACCGGAGAAAAAATTTTATAAAAATCCGGAAAATAAAAGATATAATCGTGTCAGCTGATGAAAATATTATATCTTTTATTTTCCAGATTTTTATTAAAAAAAATTTTCCTTTTTTCTTGGATTTTTTTCCTGCTTTCTTGATATATTTTTTTATTATTATTATTTTTTTCCCTCTTTTTTTCATTGTTCTGTAATTTTTTTCCATGTTTTCTCTACATTTTGAACTTATTTTATGAGTTCTATTTACTTATAGCTTATGCGCAGTAAATAAAACTTATTGTTTTTCTTAATTTTCTTAGTGTTTATTTTTTCTTTTTGCATTCATATATATATATATTATTATTATTATTATTATTATTAGTTGTTTGGTTGCTTTCGCAAACTTTTCAATTTTTTAAAATTGTTTTGGTAACTGTATAAAGATGTGCTACCCGAAACTTATTCTGGCATGCTTTATTTAAAGATAATATTGAAGAAAAAAACATTATTTTGCTTGCAACAATTTTATAATTTACTAGTTATGCAATATTTATGCATTATTTTTTGTAGAAAAGTCAGAATTTTTCCTGTAATTGAACAAAAAAATAATTATAATTAATATTCTCTAAGTTATTTATCTAAATAGAAATTGTTAGAACTAATTACTCTGTCAGTTTATTGTCTTCTATGCATTAATTTAATCTTATTTCTGATTTTTAAAAAAATTTCAAGTTTTTTCCTGTTATTTAGTAATGGGAGATTATAACTTTAGTACTTTGAATTATTTATTAAATAATAATTGTTAAAACTGAGTTTAATGCCCCTTGTGCATTAATAATTTAGCACTAAATGACAATAATGCTAGAATGAATAACTAATTGGTAATTTCTAAGTCTGATTAGATTTTATTAGCTCAATTAATTGTCCTTTGTTGCACAGTTTAACTTGAAGATTCTTTTTTGTAAATGTTTGCAGCTCTCATGCTTCTCCCGAAAGCCGTCATTCTTTCAATGCGAATAATCGAGATTTCCTAGGACCGGCAACACCTAAACCGAGCTTGTTAAAAAAAGATATTGTAATGATGGTTACATCACCTGGATCTGATTCTTCGAGTGGTTTTGGAACATCTGCTTCAGAGAGCTGGAGATCTGAAACTTTCATCCTAGTTTTAAAAGAAATGCTTCTCAATCAAAATTCCACTGATCATCATCAGCAAAATATCCATGATTTGATTCCGGTAAATCATTACCAAAATTATGCAAAATATTTTATAATAATTAATGTCTTTCTTGCCAAAAATACCACCATAAAATATTTCAAAAAAATATCTAATTTAAACTACTTGTGTAATGTAGATTTTTTTAACAGACAGGAAATTTTTTCCAATTTATGTGCTGTTTTACATACCATTGTTCTGTTTGCAATTCTGACTAAAGCAGAGCTTTTTTATCATATTGTGCATTGATATATTTCTTATTTGGCATGAAAACTTCATTTTATTATTTTGCTTGTTTGTAAATGATTATTATCTTTTTTTTTTTTTTTTTTTTTTTTTTTTTTTTTTTTTTTTTTTTTGTGAAGAACTATCATAGTTGTTGGTTATTTCTTTCTAATTCAAATAACTAAGCATTTTCTTTGATTTTTTAGAAAACCTTCATTCCAACTCATTATCACGTGTGGATGGTACGAATCCTCGTAAAACACTTGCACTTCTTTTTTAATAGTACGCTTTCTCCTAATCAAACTACTGGACATGGTCAGATCATGATAGACAGCTTAGGTCGATTAAAAAGGTACTGATATGATTTTTTGTCAATTATAAAATTACATTTGCTTTTATAATTTGAGCTGAAAATTTAAAACTGAACAAAATTCAAAACTATCAACCGTAGGTGTTCATTACCTGTAACAAAGAAGTTATTTGAAAAAATTTATTATGACTTGAGGAATTTTTGACTCTAGTATTTCTCTATATCTATACTATTGCCTCGACTCTAGTATTTCTCTATTGTTCGAAATTCATACATTGACTGTGTGTTTGTTTGGCGAGGAAAATATTATTAATGAGGAATCAAATTTAAAATTCCACCAAATAAAAATTTGCATTCAACATGACGTCATGTATTAATTGCTAAAATGTAAGCCAGGATAGCTTGGTTGGTAGCGCACTGGGCCCATGCCCAAGCGACCGTGGGTTCAATCCCCGCCAATCAAAGACTCTCCTTGCAGTAAATGGTGACTGGTGCACGTTAAATCTGTCGAGCCTCAAAGTCCTCCATGTTCCCATAGCAAATCATACCTCTGGGGGTACTGACCCAGGAATGGAGTTGAACATAAGTAGTCATAAACCCATAAAATAGGTCGGCTGTTCAACGACTGTTATAAAAAAAATAATAAAATGTTAGAAAATAGTGTTTTAATTGGTTTTTCACTGTTTTGTTCTCTGAACCAAAAAATCCTTTATATTAACACCCAAGGAAGTCATTTTGACTGCTTTTTAATTTCAATTAGAAAAACAATGATGTATATAATGACATAATTTTTTAGACTTTTTGTGCAAGATATAATTTTTTTAATTGTTAATATTTACTAATAACTAGTCATATAACTGTGAATTATATAAAAACGTATTAAAAATTAATTTTAAACAAATTTCTTTACACCTTATTTATTCTTTCACAATCCACAGTCATTTTGACTACTTTTGGGCTATATAGGTATACACTAAGTTTCAGTCTTTTTAGTGTTAAATAATATGTTTCTAATTTATCTTTAACAGCCTTGGGATGACAAGTTTGATACAAAAAGAAATTTATAGCTTCTTGAAGACTGTATTTGATCACTGGCCATTGGATGCATCTTTTAGGGTGGTATGTAATTTATTTCAATATTATAAAATGCATACTTCGAGAAAATGCTTGTTTTGCTGAAGAATATTTGTGGGGAAAAAATATAAGAACTAATTTCATAATATATGTAATATGTCGATTATAAATGTTTGTACTTTAGCCAAAATGTGTCATGTCATACTTCTTAATACCCTGTCCCTACCCTTTGTCACAATTTAAAAAAAAAACTCCTCCCAATATGACGTTATTTACGAACGGTATCCAAAGTGAAGAAAGAAAAAAATTTAACTCATATTAAATCAAAATGCCAAATGTAAATTAAAACAGATAAGATAAAATATAAATGTATTAATTGATTTAGCTCTGAGTGTATTTGCAAAGTATAACAGTGAAATTTGTTTACTAATTTTAGATATGCCAGTTTATAAAATTAGTTGCTTTATGAAATCTAATGTCCTCTAAATGAATATATATGTATTTTAAATAAAAAGTGGTCACTACACTTTTATTTGAGTATACTTTGAAATATACAAAGGATTTTCTAATAAAAATTAGAAATAGTAATTTTTTTTTTTTAAAGTAGGTAGACCTTCTAAGGATTATTTTTCTTACTGATATTAATTGCAATAAACTATACATAATTTTATGATCTTTATATTTTATATAAATTGTATTTATAATATATCTTATTCTTTTAATAAAATATATATTTGCAGCCACTTGAAACTTATTTAAGCTACATTCAGCCATGGAGATATATTCAGTGTGATTTGGAGCCTTCTACATGGTAATGTATTACAATTATTTTGGAATCCATTGTTTTTGTATTTGCTACATCACAATCAATAATCTTTCTTATGCTTGTATTATTTGTATGTAAAGTCGTTGCATATTTATTTTTATTTTATAAGATAAATGTTTTTTTCTTGTGTAAATTTTATATCCTAACTAAAATGTGCTTTTTTTTTTTTCTTTTCTTTTTTTTTAGTTTTTTAGTTTTTATTTAATATTACTGTTCAAAAATTATGTAACACTTTCTGTTGTTTATATATCATCATATTGCTTACAAAATTGAATTTTTTTTATCTGTATATATCAATAATTAATAGAATATTAATAATTAATAGAATAATAAAAACTGAATAACATTAACAATTAAATCATATAAAGTTTTTCCTGCATTGCTTTTATTTTTTAATAAATTGCTTGCATATATTCTATATTTATTTTTATTTATTGCAAAGCCGTTAGATTACCTACATTTTACTTGTTTCTTGAGTATAGGATCTTCTTGAAATATGAAAATCAAACAAGTGAATACCTTTAATAGTCTTCTATGCTATCTTAAATTTGGCGAAATAAATTTGTTTGGAAACTTATAAAGAGGAAAGAATTACACTTGTGCAAAGAATACAAAATGTTCTATGAACTAAATTTAGAAATAACAGTGAATATTACTTGTTGCAATGAAGACAAAATTTAAATTGAAGGAGTAACATAACTTTTACTCTTGAATATGTGATATTATTTGTATTAAAAGTTTAATTTCCTTTTCTCTGATTATTTAGGCAGAAATTCTTAACTGAGAATATTCTGTTTTACACCACCATTTTTGTTCAGATTCTAAGAAGGTTTCTTAGAATGGATTTAAGCTGTCCTAAAAATGCTTACATGCTGTACAGACTGACAAAAGTTAGTCATTCCTATTAATATTATTAAGTTTTATTACAAGTATTACTTGAATTTCTAGCTTTTAATTTACTTGGTTACTTTTTTAGGTCCTTTGTACGAGAGAGCTGAGACAAATGATCACACAAGGTTTGAATCATTCAATAAATTAAATGCTTGATTTTAATTAGAAATAGGTATTCAGTTTAAATTCTATATTTTTAAACCATTTGGCCAAATATTAAACTATTTTGCTGACAAGTATGTTTTTTTTTTCTCCAAATAATAGAATAATTAATAATTAGAGATTCAAGGGATAAATAATTTCTTGTTAGTTATGGACTAACACTGTATTTAGTGAATAGAATTTACTCTATTGATAGTACTGATTTGTTATAAGTTTTAAAAAATTGCTTCTTTTTTTCTATGCGTTAAAATTTTGAAGAAATTTTGTACTGACATAGAATTAATGAATAAAATATAATGTATTTTAAAATGTTTGTCAAACTTTTTTTTTTAATATTAAACTATTCTAAGAATTAAATAAAAAAAGATTCAAATTCTTTTTATGTTAGACTTTTTTATCTTGTTTCTGTTGAAATAACTAGTTTATTAGTTGTTTCATACTGCAATATCCAGAATGTGAAAACTATTGTAAATTCAATCAGCTTATTATATGTTTTTTTTTTTTACTCAAAAATTTAATTATTTAGATTAGCTCATTAATTTGTGTTGAGTGATCTTAATACATGACGTTCATCTAAAATCTCTATTTAGTACAGAGTATGCTTAGTTTTAACTTTAAACTAATTTCATAACTCATTAAATAAATCTTGTTTATTGATCTAGCTGAAAAAGTGTGTGTTTCAAAGCCTGCAAATGTTGGAATGCCTGGATTCTTAAGATCATCTGAAAAGCTGTTTTATCAAAGGATGTCTGAGATAGAAATGACTGGCTCTAACTATTTACCTCTTTTTAGTGAGCCAGTCTTTGTTTTGGTACTTATTGATTTAATTGTTATTTTATTTTGAAATTCAGTTTATTGCTTCTCTATTGTCAATTGCTTTAAAATGTGCCTCTAGTTCCTGATTTATCGTAAAACTGGAGAAATCCAAGCTTAGGGGCCCATAAATGTCACAAATATGTTCTATTTGTGTTTTTACTGAAGAATTGTGCATTAGAAACTTATCCATATTATCAATGAGTGCAACATACGGAGTGATATTTTCAACATTAATTGCTATTAATAACATAAAATTGTTCTCTCTAACTGTGATTTGTCCAAAGGCAATTTAAATATTGGTTTTTCTGCAAATTGTTGATTTAAAAACTATTTCATGCATTAATTTCAAAACTTTTTACAGGTTTCGCAACTGGTATCGTCCATTGCTGCTGCTCGTCAAAAGTCGAGCACCGAAAATCTCTCTCAAAGTATTGTCAACAAAAGCTTCTTCTCTAAATTTGCTAGCCTGTTTGATGTCTCCAACGATGAAATCAATTCTGATGATAATAGCCCATCAGAATTGCAAAAAGTCTCTACCTATTTAGATATGTCTTCTAAACAACTCTGCAACTTTTTTTCAGAGGTTAGTCTGACATTATATCTCTCAATTTCTTAGAAATTTTATTGAATATTATTACGTGTACTTATCCACTTTTTTTTTTTTTTTTTTTTTTTTTTTTTTTTTTTTTTTTTTTTTTGGATTTGGCCATATTATATTTCTATATTTGTAGTATAATTTGATACTACAAGGGTTTCTTTTTATATTGCCAAATGGCGCCCCATGTGAACTGTGTACTGTTATCTTAATATTGATTTTACACATGTAAAATTTTCAGGGTTTTTAACTTTGTGTCACAATTACCCCAGTTATGTGCAATGAGATCTACCTTAGTGCAACCTCTTAGGCTTTACATTACTTGGTGAGAAATTTTATCTCATTCCAATATTGAATAAAAAATTAATGTCACTTTGAGTCACAATTACCCCTGTTATGTGCGATGAGATCTACCTTAGTACGACCTCTTAGGCTTTACATTACTTGGTGAGAAATTTTATATCAATGTTGAATTACAAAATAACGTCACGGTTTAGCTGCGCTTAATGTTATGATTCGCTCTCCCTATCCCAGTAATTTTTTAACACCCAAAAGATATCGTAATTCCTAAATCACGCTTCAAACAAGGAGCACATTTGCTTTCCTGAAAAACTTTATCTATGAAACTAATGCTTATTTGCATTACAGGGAGGGGAAAAACTTGTAAACTTCCAATAGTATACTGTATGGTTGGAGAACTTTAACAAAACTTGTTGAAAATTGAGTTTCTTCATCATCATATTTGGCCAGACAGCCCAATGTGGGCCAATGCCTTTCTCCCTCTGTCTCCATAACAACCTCTGATTTATCTTTGATCTCTGATTCTTTTCATTAATTGCAAGAAAATCGGACTTCGCCAAATCAGACCATCTTAACCGCAGCCTTCCTGCTTTCTTGTTCCAGTGGGTCTACAAAGCAGTATCTTTTTTATTGTATTGTCATCACTCATTCGAATCACGTGGGCCATCCAATTTGTTCTATTTATTTTTAATTTATTGATCTATAATATGTAAGAACATGCTGTCTGGTAAAAACTTAGTTAAAAAATACTGATAGCCGATTTTACTTATGCGTGCTACCTTTTATATTAAACATAAATCAATTTATACTGAAAATATAAAAAAAGTTTCCAAGTGAGTTAACCCACTGACGGATCTGCACATAAAAAGTTGTATTTTAACCCGCAGTCTTCTCCACATAGCAAAACTGATTTTTTTTTGTTATTAGATAGGGAAATAGTGTATTGGGGAGAAGCATTCTCCCAATCTTACCCTCCTGCTAGACCACCTGTGGGTTGAGTTATAAATAAATAAAAACTACCTCCAAAAAGTTTATCAATTTTTGATTTAAAAAAAAAAAACTATCTCGGTTTTAGCATGTGCTTTTATTTACTAGGGAATAAAATCTTCAGCAATGTTCAAATAGCATTAAAATAATGTGTTTTGTTAAAGAAAATATCTAGGTTCTGTTTGCAACTGTTGTCTAACATACTTTCATGAAGCGTGAATCCCACAAACCAAAATAATAAAAAAAATTAATGCATTTTTTTTTATCTGCTGAAAGCAAAATACAATATAAGAGTTATACATTCATATATCACATTTATCTATAATTATCTTTACATTTAACTTATTTTGTTAAAATAGTTTTTTGCATTAGATTTCTGAATTTTCTTGAGTGAATTTCTTAATTTTTTTTCTCTGAATTTCCTTTTTAACAGACACTTCTCCGTAACAAACATGTTTCTCAGTCTGGAAAATGTACATTTTATCAAGGTCCTTGAATTAAAATTCTGCATAAAAGTAAAATACGCTGAATCTAAACAGTTATTTCAGCTTGACTATTAAGAAACTGAAATATGTGAATTTCCAAAACTACATATATAAATAATTCAAGGTTACTATTATTCTGAATATGGTTGTAGCGAACATAAATGAATATTACATGATTTAAATACATGATCAATAGGCTGCGTACAGGAAACCAGTTACCGGGTGGTAACCGGGTAATGAATATCTGACAAGTTCCTGGGTGGATCACTATTTAGAATGTTTTCTTATTTCTTTAAAATATTTATTTAAAGATAACTTTATCTTTTTATGAACTAGCTATTGCTTTTTTTATTTCATTTTTTATATACTAAAGAAAACCACAATAGAATAATTTGAACTGAGTTGCTTTATTTTATTCTAAAAAATATTTTCTATGCCTATTTTCTTACTTGTTGCTTGACAGTGGATATGATCAAAAGTTTATAGATTTGTAGATAGTAAACCAAATGAAATTGCAGAAGTACGTTTTATCACCAAATATTATTATATATTCTAAGTAAAATTAAGCACATATTATATAAAAAGAAAACATTATTTCAATGCATGCTTTGAATACAATTACGTAAAGTCCTAAAACAGGCATTTAAATTGTTGTATTGAATTTAATTGGATTCATTTTTAAATAAATAAAAAAAATATTAAGAAATAATAAATTCTCGTTTCTATTTAATTACTCTGATAAAGTTAAAAAAAATTGTGTATATCTTGATGATTTGTGTATAATAAGTAAAAAAATCTCTTTATAGGTTGTACCTCCTCAACAAAATAATGCATCGCTAGGAAACCTCTCCCTCTCAACCTCTGATCAACAATCGCGTTTGAATAACAGTGGTGACACAAGTGAAAAGTTTTCAAACTTAAAAGCAATCAACAGAATGCTGGTGCTAAATCAAAACAAAAAACAAGATGTTGAATATCATGATAATCCAGATTTGCAACCTGTAAGGACTTATGAAGTTGGATTCCTTGTTAAAGTTCTAAATGAAATCTCACAGCAAATAAATGAAAAGGTGAAGATTTTAATTTAATAATATTTAAATTAATATTATTTTCTATTTCATCCTGAGTTTGTTAGTTTTTTTTCTTCAAGTTTTTGCATTTTGTGCATATTGAACTTACTGCTTCTAGTATGTTTAGTTTCCAATAATTAAATCCAGGGAACACTCTACAGTGTTTAGAAAAATAAACTTCAGTTTTTTTTTTTTTGTGTACAAAATTATATCTTATACAATTTTCATACCTGACTCATCTCCTGTTTTTTAACGAAAACTCCTGTATTTTACGACTACCTCCTGTTTACCCATATATTCACAAATTTTTTCCATATATGTTGAAGAAATTTAAAAATAAATAAATTTGCGATTAAAATATTCGCTGATGGCAAAAATACTTCTCTTATTCCTCAATAGATAGTGCTATTGCCAGTGCTACAGTATGTTGAGTATTAATAGTTTAAGTAGCTGTGGTGGCTTAAGGGATAGAGCATTTGCCTTTCAGTAAGGTGACCCTCATAGATCTGACATTAGTCAGATCAACTCCAAAAAGTTGTTGACAGCCAGAAAGTCGATGACAAGAAGGGGATCGGAAATTAAGTCCGCCGTGGACAGTCCGACACAATAAGTATATGCTTCGGTGAGGCTGGTTGGATACAGCATTTTTTACAAGTCGGGTAAATTTTTGTGCCACGTTCGAATGTTAGACATTTTAGGTGACCAGTTAAGAATCTGGCGAAGGCAGTCTAGGAGCTTCAATCGCAATTGATGCCCAACAGAGTGCCAGGAGATGTTGCGGTGTACCATTGGTGCATAGGTGAAGTTTGCCAGATTGATTTTTGTCTATATTTTTCATTTGAGTAAAGTTCCTGGTAAGTAAGTGATGACCTAGTAGGCATATCCTCACTGCCCTCTTTGGCCAATCTATCTGCTCTCTCGTTGCCACCAATATTAACATGTGATGGAATCCAGTGGAGATGTATGTCATGGTGCTGAGAAATCTTATACTAGATATACTAGTTTCATCGCTTGCAGTGGACCAGCTACTAAGATGTTGCAGGGCACTGCGGCTGTCCGATAAAATCCGGAGTTCTCCATAATCACTGTCGTAGGGCCTCAAACCTGACCCGGGTTTGAATCCCAGAGGTGGCTGGTCAATACGAATTCCTCTTCCAGCTTGAACCGATCACCGTGCTGACGTAAAATATCCTTAGTGGTGGATGGATCATGGGTTAGAGTCCCCTTGCTGTCAGGCTAATCTTGGGAGGTTTTCCTCTCCATGTAACGCAAATGCGGGTTAATTCCATCAAAAAGTCCTCCATGAAGGCAAATTTAGCCCAATACTTGATCCAGGAGTTTCCTAGTCTTCTGAACTGGGTTCAAATTTACAAGGCTACGGAGTTGAACCTTAGTAGTCATAAACCCAAAAAATTGGGTCAGCTGTTCTACGACAGTTATAAAATGAAATAGTTTAAGTAATTATAATTGGTTAAAAAAAATCTTTAGATTAAGATTTATATACATATTTTTTACTTCACTAAATGTAAGTTCTTATATTATTTCCAATTTTAAATTTCTCTTTTTGACTTATGCATGATGTATCAAAACTTTACTCAGACCCTAAAAAATGTCTTTTGTAAAATCTCGTTATTTTATTTCTCCAATGTTGGCAGGTATGAATTTTCCTTTTTATCAGTTTAATGCTTTTTTTCTGCAGGTTTGTATTATGATTTTTATTTTTATTTATTTCTGATTTTTTTATATTATGTATTTGAATTTTATTATTTTTATTTTATTTATTAGAACTCCTAATATGTATCTATTATGATTTTTATTTAGTATTATTTTGTAAGATATATTTAAATTTTTTTTTTTCCCTTTATAGTATGGTTCAGAAATCGAACAACTCTATTTCAAAAATACCCTGGTTGGAAAAATGTGCCGCCGACTCGTAGCTGCTCCCGTAACATACATTAATGTCATCAAATCAAAGGATATGATGTCTGTCTCAAGCTATCCGGTGCATCTCCCACCCCGTGTATGCCTACGTTTCCTATCTCACAAACAGTTACTAGCTTATATATTTATCTTTCTATTCCTGAACTATTTTTTGTCATCAAGTCCCATCTTCGGGATATTTGTTTTTACGCTCCTATTATTTGTGTTACTCTTTTTGAGTGCTTTATTCTATCCAGTTGAAGTACATCCAAAAGATGATTGATTCCTATGAGTGGAGTTTGTAACTGTGTATAAAATATGTGTATTCCTTTTAAATTACTTTTTGAAACTGTAAATATTACTGTATGTCTTACAATAAATATATATTTTTTATTGAGTTTTGCTTTTTGAATTTATTTCATTTATATTTCATAGTTGCCACTGGATTTTCCTCTAAACTACAGGGTTTTGCGAGTTTCTCCTGGTCTACTGGTTTAAAAAAATTTCTGAAATTGAGTAAATTCTCCCCCCCCCCCCANTACTTCCCCCCCCCCCCCAAAAAAAATTTTTCTTTTTTATTCAAAACAATTTTTACCCATTTTATTGTTTGTTTAAATGTTAAAATAGGTATTACTAAATACACAATGAATTGTAATAAGTTTTATTTTTTGGTTCTAAAATTTTTGGCTTATTTTTATTCAAAACTTCCTTTTCTTAATGAATTAAATGTCTATTACTATTCAAAATGAGTAATCATAAATGGAAATTATTGCAAGCCATTTATAGTCTATTAGGGTAATAAATTTATTTTTTAATGACGATAAAATTCCTTGTGTGTAGAATATTTGGTATATTATGCAACAGTTATCAAATTTTTATTATTTCGTAAAATCTACTGTATTTTTTCCAATCCTTGTTGGCAGCTATGATATTGATATTTGTTACTTGACATGGTAAAAGTTATTCTTTTATATCTATTTTTCAATAAAAATAGACAGTCATCATCTCTAAAATTTATAAAACAAACTTCAACACCGTTTTTAATTTATTTACTTCCTTTTAGTCTGTGGGAAGATAGGATTTTGCAATCAAACCCCTGTTCTACTAGCTAGAGCACTCAAATTCCTATGAAAGTTCTGTGCCTGAAAACAATGCAAAATTTAAATTATTTCTTAGTAATTACTAGCAGTATTTATCTGGATATTATGGCCAAAAGGAATTTATCGTTATTCAAGATTCTGACCCCTTTTTGAGTAAAGCTAAATCATTCTAATTTTGAATAGAAATTTGTGCTGGATGACAAATCAAGTTGAATCATTCTTTTACATTTACAAGCAGAATTTATCTTGATACAATTTACTTTCAGACTAGCTAGAGTACTCTAAATTTCAACTGGAGTTCCCTGCCCGATGGCAATGCAGTTTATGATTGTTTCCTAATTGTTGAAATTAAAATTTGTCTCCCTTTTATTACCAATTAAAATTTCTATTGTTTTCTGACATAGGCAAATTGACAGACACAAAATAAATAATAATTAAGTATTTTTTTTAAAATGAATGAATATAAAAAAATATTTATATATTTTGATATACCTAAAGCATTGAGCACTTCTGTTTGTAATAAACTGTATCTCATCTCGCGTCTTTCAAAAGTAATGTGGCCTTTTCTCCTTTTTAGTCTACTTAAAATTCAAATATTAAAATTATGTATTAATAATTTTAAATATATTTCAAAAACTATACGAAGAGTATTCTGTAACCTTAGCTCTTAATATAGATATATCCTTACTAAAAATTTATAAAAGCAAGGATACTAATAAGAATTCTCCAACTAATACACTGATGTTCAAAAGGTGTTTTTTTTTCTTCTTGATATTATTTCCAGAATCGCTGGAATAATTTGTGAAATTTGATTCGAAGATGTGTTGACAAACAAAATAACCATTCCACGTTTAAAATATACAGGCATAATCATGTGTAACACTCATCAGGGATGTCGTCAATAAATGATGTCACACTTAAAAAAGGTAACAAGAAGTGTGACAATACTTTTTGGTTAGAATTTAAAATCAGCAGTTGAAATATTTTTATGTGAATAGTTTTTTTTATCAAAATAAGTACACATCTAACCATTGTTTGTTATGTGCATAATAGTCATTAAAATGCATAGTTAAGGTTTAAAAATAAAATTTGAAATATGTTCTATAACATATGTGTTTAGTTTCTAACCTACTAATACAGTGAAACCTCTCTGGGGGGGAGGGGGACCATTCTCCATTCCACAATAAAATGGTCATTCTTGGAGGTTATCTCCATTGTGACTTCAAAATTACTATAGAAGGTATATGATTTTTCGCAAACTGTTTTAATTTTAGTCAGTGTCATTTTCTTGGTGCTACTTCTGTTGACGTTATGAAATACCGGCCTGATGAATAAAATTTAGCATCAGCAAAAATGATCACAACTGATATAATTATGTGTAACAACAAATTTACCAATTATGAATGATAAAAGTATTTTAAATAAATGAACAATTTTGTTTAAGTTTGCTTTCATTTTTATTTCATAAAAATTAGTTTTAAAAGAGGAGAAGGGATTTGTTTGAGATGCTTGTTTTTTTCACTAATTTAACTATCAACTGTAGAAGTAAATCTTTGATAGCATCGTTTTTAGTGCATGCTGGCTGCAACATGAGATTGTAGCGTCAAAAAGAGCTCTCTAAATAAAAGACTCATACAAATATTTTGAATACAATTTTATTAAATTTTTCTGTTTTGATATTTTTGTGCAGATGTTTACCCGGTCGCTAAAAGAGGTTTTGATGGTCTCTCCTAAAGATTTTCTTCAACACAAAGTCTATGGAAAAAATTCCGTGCCTCGCAAATAGAGGTGGTCTTTCCTGTAAATTTCATTGTATATGCTTATTTTATATAGCGTAACGCCTTGCGATAAAAGGGATGAGAAGATTAAAAATATTGAAAAAAAGTGTGTCATTTATAGAAGACAGACCCTCAGAGTCAAAAGATATAAAATAGTAATTAAAGAATCGAACCAAAAAATGGATTATTAGTGTTCTCGCAATCAATTTCATATGATATATGGTCATCATAACTTGATTTCATGCTGGAGAGACATTTTGTGGTCACATTCTAATGTCCTGTTTTCAGGCCGGGCTGATTGTGAATTATAATCGTCCTCACCAATGTGATCCAGTTTGAGCTTTGAAGAGTTTAAAGTATCTGCGTGGCTAATCCACCCAGCGACTGCTTGGCAAAAAATGATCAAATACATAAGCTAATGGTGGTCGCACATTGTACATTAAAATTAAATCAAAGCCCACTGCACCCCTTAAAGTTGGTAGCTGCCACCGTAGAAAAGTTTCTTGCTTTAATTGCTCTGTTTATTTTAAAAAGTTAATTACAAACAATAATTACTTATCTCTATATATAATCAAAAAACCTAACAATTGCTTAAACTATTGGGACCATCTTTTCCAGATTGCTACTACCCATATTTTGAGAATCAAGAATCAAAATTCGTCGATAAAAATGTGTTTTTATTCAGAAAAAAAAAATGCGCTTTTGTGTCTGCTTTCGTAAGTATCGTATAAATTAATAAATATGCATATTTTTAGATTAGATTCTCAAACCATAAATGATGATTCCTAGTACGAGATAATTCGATCATTAGATTACAGTTATTCAGGGTGATCGCTTTTTTACTAATGCACATTGTATACTACGCATTAAAAAAAAAAGCGGACCACCCTGAACTTTTGATCTAATCATCGGATCTTCACGTTCTAGGACTCAATCTTAGTGGTTCAACTGTGACTAAAATTTATTTTTTGTATTTTAGTTACTAAAATTTATTTTTGTGTGGAATTATCTTTGGATAAACAAATTTTGCAATTGTGTGCAAAAAATTTTCGATTCACTTAAAATGTACTGAGATATGGCAAAATACGCAAAAAGTAAAACTAACATTAAGGGGCCCAAACTTCGGATGACTTTCCTGACCAAACTATTGGGACCATATTTCCCAAGTTGCGGCTACCCCCTATATATTAGGGATCGGAAACCAGCGGGAAAAAAAAGAAAAGGTTTGTTTATTCCGGGAAAGTAAGTTTTTGTGTCTGATTTCGTAACTTAAAATATCATCTGCACTAACTAATTAGCATATTTGATTTGAACCATTAACATTGAGTCCTAGAGAGTGAAGATCCAATCATTAGATGAAAAGTTATTCAGGATGATTGCGGGGTTTTTTTGGGGAGGAGGGGGGAGCAGTTACATACTTCATCGAGCGTCATTTAATATTTTTTTTATAATGATAACCTGTGATGAATATTCAAAAATGAATTTCTCTGTCTATGATGACCGTTCAGTTTCCAGTTTGTGTAGAAACATTTTTCTTGGTATAGCTATTTAATGAATGACTCCATGATTCGGTAAGTGAATGAATTAATAAATAAGTGAGCGAGAAAATAATGCGAATCACGTTATAAATAAATCTACTACTTAGCAAATTTTAAACGAATAAAAAAAAAATTTAAACCTATATTTGTTCTTATACCTAATTTTAATTTTATAATTTAAATCTATAACATTTGTTAAAAAAAATTTAAAACTTTAATATATATAATAATATCTTATAATATTGTTTTATTATTATTCTATACGTTTACTTTCATACAACCATTGAAAATGAAACATATAATTGGGTAGAAATACTTCTTTGAGTTATTTTTGCGCTCCTCAGAAAGCTTTTTAGAAATAGTAAAGAAAACTTCATAATTGATTCTTAAACACTAAATATGTAGAATTCAAATAACTAGAATTCGAATTGGGTGAGACTTTTATTTTATAGCCAATGCCATTCAAGTCAATGCAATACCTTGTCTCAGAAACCTGATAAATAAAAAAAACGTTGTCACTTCAAAATTATAATAGAGAAAAAACAGATAAGGTGATATCGGTGTATCTTAGCTGCGTAAATATCTTGCCACCAGTTTCTGATAAATGCTGATAACTATAGCCGAAGAAATCAATAGATATGGTTCAAACGGTAGTATTTAAAATGTTTTATGGGTGCATTGGCACTCTGCTGTTTAGAAATAGTAGTGCAATTTGAAACAATAAAGCTTTTAGAATTTGGATGAGGACATGTGTTAAAGTCTAAATTACATTTTAGACCCCATTAGACCCCATTTAGAGCGTTAAAATTGTCAAAAAGACAATTTTTCAGACGATATTTTGTGTTGATGTTTTAATAAGGAACAGAAAGTGTTAAAATGGTCTGAATAAATAATCTTTGATGAAAATTTCTCGTTGTTTCCTTCTTATTATAAAGGATTGAAATAGTCAAATGGAATAATATCTGACGATAGTTTGCTTTA